ATGCTTTAGCCTAGAATCCCATGACTACCTTTCCTGAGCAGGCCCTGTTGGAAACACAGCAGTTAACACCACGAGAGCAAGGTGCCAGGAATAGTGTGATAGGCATCTCATTGTCGCCTTAGCACACACCTGTGAGGACGGTATGAAAGAGGAGTGCAGTTCAGAAGTCAAGACTTCAGAGTGCGAGGAACTGGCACAACACAACTGCCTTCTATTCCAGCATAGAAGAGGATAGGAGTGAACGCTGTTGTTTCAGAATGTAACTTCAAGATGGGAATCTTATTTGAAAAACACTCGCAACAGCAATAAAATGAAGTTTAAGGTCCGTGTCTTGAGTAAATTTACAATTTAGTTGGGAACGACACTGATAACTAATTAAACGTGGTATGAGAGTCATGATTACTTAGAAAATAGTTCTTTCTCTTACACTTTTTTCAAATAGAAGGGGCTCTTTCCTGGTGAGTCATATACAATGGTTTCCACTGGATATTGCATTCAAATCAAGCAGAGAAAGGGGGGGGGGGAAGCTGTGTTGTTAGTCCCTCTTGTGGCTTGTCTACTACAATAGACACAGGTGCACCCCTGAGGAAAAATAGTTTTGGAACATTTTCTTTTATGTACATTCATTTTAAGTTAATCAAAGTTTACTAGAGAGAAAGTAAAATCTCCTACTAAACTCTTGCCACACTAACAAAGCAACATTCATATTTTGGTGACTTTCAAGTATTTCTTGATTCATATGTATGAACAAAATATGTATGTAATGCTTAACACAATTTTCTTAAAATTTCATCCCATAATCCATACAGTATACTTTGGAGAAAAAGATTGAAGGTCAAGTAAATTAACATTCTCACCACCACATATTTCAGTGCACATCCTTTGTGTATATACAATTTCTTTTCAAGATCAGTTTAGTAATCATTTTACAATTAACAATATCAGCCTTTTTTCAGAAAATTTCCCTCCTAAATCTATTTTTCCCAGGTACTGGGACTTGAACTCAAGGCCTGGTGCTCTCACTCTTTTTTTTTTGTTGTTTGTTTTCTCCTATGTTCTATCACTTGAGCCACACTTTGAGTCCAGCTGTTTTGCTGGCTAACTGCTTCTGGTTATGTTTCTTAAGTCTTTTGAAATATGGCCCTTAAGAAAAAAATTTAAGACAACGACTGACTGCAGAAATCAGGGCAACTGAGGTGCAAAAATGCCTGGAAATAAATGGCTGATTCCTCAAGAAGTCATTAAGCTTGTTTGTTTCAGCTCTGTATTTCCTACAAACAAGAAGTCATATCTGAAGGCTCAATGGATTCAAATCCAGTGACACATTTCAGACTAATGTTTGTCACATATTATGGTGGATTATACTTCAGCTTTCCTGATAATAGACACAAGCATATTATAGCATCTAATATAAAATACCAATACTGATCGCTGGATTAGTGATTATGAGAATGTTATCTTTTATCATGGAATCTTTTAAAAAAGACTATTTCAATGACTTACCAATACCACATAATAGCTTATCCCATTCACAGAAAGCTATCTTTGGTCTCAAATATGCTTAAGTTTATTAGCAGATGGCTTGGTACCTTAGAACATATGGTTACAGTATAGGAGTAGAATATGGGGCTGGTATGATATATAGCACTGTGGTAGACAAGAGAACAGAAAACCTATGAATGCTAAAATAAAGAAGCTGAAGTTAGGATGTGAATGTAGCTTAGTGGTAGAGTGCTTGTCTACCATGCATGAAGCCCTGGGTTCAATTCCTCAGTACCACATAAACAGAAAGTGGTGCGGTGCCTCAAGTGGTAGAATGCTAGCCTTGAGCAAAAGAAGCCCAGGCACTGAGTTCAAACCCCAAGACTGACAAAAAAAAAAAAAGGCCAAATTTCAACCTATGAACTCAGGGGTGCCATTAGGTATTTTTAAGATGAGTGACTATATCAGATTTGGGTCTTTAAAAAGATCACTTTGATAAGAGGAGAGCAGGGGAAAAAAGTAGAACAGTTTGGAGGCTGCCTAGGATCAGGAAAGCTTGAAACACACAAGTAGGACAGGAAAAAGGGCACAGGGTTCATTATACAAAAACCCAAAAAACAAAAAGCCAGGAGCCAGTAGTTCGCACCTTTGATCCTAGCTACTCAGGAGGCTGAGATCTGAGGACCAGGGTTTGAGGCCAGTCTAAGCACAAATGTCTGTGAGATTCTTATCTCCAATGAATCAATGAAACACCAAAAGGCCATAAGTGGAGCTGTGGCTCAAAAATGGTAGTGTTAGCGTTGTGGAAAAAAAGTTCCCGGGCAGCACCCAGGCCTTGAGTTCAAGCCCCAGGATTGGCAATCAATCAATCAATCCCAAATGAAACAAAACCTGCCTCCAAGCTCACTGTTACTTTCTTCTGTTTACTCATATTTGCTTTTGATCCCTCTACTCAAGAGCTTCATTTTGGCCCCTTTTAATAATGTTTATCTCTTTAAAAGTATTCTCATTTTTGTTCATATTTTATTTTCCCAACCTCATTCATACCTTTTTAAAAATTAGCTTACATGAGTTATACTGAAGGGGATTCCCTTGCTACATTCCACACAGTATATAAACTCACCTCTCTATCATTGCTCCTTCCCTACTTTCCAAAACAATTTAAATAAGCATCCTGTGTTATTGATTCATGTACTTATCTACTTGAGCAATGTGAAAACGGTTGTTTTGAAAATTGTCTAAAACTTTGTTTTAAAGTGGGGCACTGGTGGCGTACACCTGTAATCCTAGCTACACAGGAGGCTGAGATCTGAGGATCATCTGATGGTACCAAAAAAGGCAGAAGTGGAGCTGTGGCTCCAGTGGTCAAAAGCTAGCCACGAGCACAAAAAGTTAAAAAAAAAAAAAAGCAGTTGCTTTAAAATCTTTGTTGGAATTGTAGGCAATTGCCTAAAATGTGTGATGTACTGACTTTGATCTCCATGTGGTCTTTCTCCCTGTCTCTTATTCTCTCCCCTCTCTTTGTCAGAATTAAAAGAAGTAAAAGTTCTTACAATCTTGGAGACTACAATGTCTCATGTTCAATAATCAATAGAATAACCAGATAAGTAAACAGAAGAATTTTACATCACAAAATCCAACTCATCCTAAAAAGCATATACAGATCAGTCTACAAAATTTCTTCTCAATTGCACATGGAACATTCATTAGGATTGGCCACATATTAGGCCACATAACAAATCTCAATAGCTTTTATAAAATAGTTATAACCAGGTATCTTCTTTGATCATAAGATATGAGGTTTGTCAAAAAATTTTTAAAAAATTAGAAAATTCCCAAATATGTGGAGATTAAACAATCATTAAGCAAAGGAAGGAGATTACAAAATATTTCAAAACAAATATAACACAGCCTACTAAAACTTGTGGGCAAGGTTTAAGCAGTAAGTGGAGAAAAAATAGATTAAAAAAGACTAAATCGCTGGGCGAGGGTGACTCATGCCTAGGTGCCCAGGAGGCTGAGTTCTGAGGATCAAGGTTCAAAACCAGCCCGGGCAAGAAAAGTCCTTGAGACTCTTATCTCCAACTAGCCACCAGAAAACCGGAAGTGGTACTGTAGCTTAAGTGATAGACCTCTCACCTTGAGCTGAAGAGCAAAGAGACAGAGGCCAGGCCCAGAGTTCAAGCCCCAAGACCAAGACCACCACCACCACCACCACCAACAACAACAATAACAAAAACAAAAGTAAATCAATAACCTGAACTTGATATTCTAAATGCCAAGAAAAAGGGCATGCTATACCCAAAGCTAACAGGAAAAAAAAAAGGAAATGAAACAGATCAAAGCAGAAGTAAACAAACAAAGGTAGAAAAATAAAACAAAAAAATATACATGAAAAGTGACTCTTTTTTTTTTTTGGGTCCGGTCGTGGGGCCTGAACTCTGGGCCTGAGTGTTGTCCCTCAGCTCTTCAGCTCAAGGCTAGTGCTCTACCACTTGAGCCACAGCGCCACTTCCGGCTTTTTTCTTTTTGCTTATGTGGTGCTGAGGAATCGAACCCAGGGCCTCGGGCATGCAAGGCAGGCACTCTACCACTGAGCCAACTTCCCAGCCCTGAAAAGTGACTCTTAAAAAGATCAACAAGACAGTCAGGTGCTGGTGACTCACACTTATAATCCTAGCTACTCAGGAGGCTGAGATCTTAGGAACTAGGTTGAAAGCCAGCCCTGGCAGGAAAGTCCACGAGACTCTTACCTCCAATTAACTACCAAAAAACCAGAAGTGGCGCTGTGACTCAAGTGTTAAAGCGCTTGCCTTGAGTTGAAGAGTTCAGGGACAGTACTCAGTCCTAGAGTTCAAGCCTCAAGACTGACCAAAAAAAAAGATAAACAAGAGCTGAGACCAGTGATACACACCTTTAACTCCAGCAGATGGGAGGAAGATTATGGATTCCAGACGAACCTGAGATACATACCAAAATACTGTCTCAATAAAGTGAATTAAAGGGCTGGGAAGGTGGCTCAGTGGTAGAGCGCTAGCCTTGCATGCCTGAGGCCCTGAGTTCAATTCCTCAGCACCACATAAGCAAAGAGAAAAAAGCCGGAAGTGGCGCTATGCCACAAGTGGTAGAGCGCTAGCCTTGAGCTGAAGAGCTGAGGGACAGTGACTAGGCCCAGAGTTCAGGCCCCATGACTGGACCCAAAAAAATAAAAATAAATAAAGTGAATTAAAAACTTAATATTGACAGAACTTTTAGCTAGACCAATGAAAGAAAAGACCACACAATTTTTTTAAAAGTATATATGAAAGTGAAAAACATTAACTACAATATTACAAAGAGGTTTTTAAAAAGAGTTATAGGAGACCACTATGGACAATTACATGCCAACAAATCAGAAAACAGCTTAAAAATAATGAACATAATCCTTGAAACACACCACTTACCTAAACTGATTAAAGATGAAATAGAAAATATCAATAACTCTGTCACAAGAGATTCACTCAGTAATCAAAACTTACCAACTAAGGAAAGTCTACACCAGATGCCTTTATTGGTGAATTCTATTAAACTTATGTTCAAAGGAAGAATTAACAACAGTCCTTGTCAAACCTCTTCAATAAACCTGAAGAGAAAAAAAAAGTAGAAGAAAATGCTTCCTTATACATTGAGTTAGGTCAGCGTATACCCTGATACCCAAGACAGATAAAAGCAAAAGTCAGTAACTTGAACATTAATAAATTATAAATGTAGAAGCAAAAAACTAACAATATACAAACAAGTCAAATGTAAAAATGTATTAAGAAGATTATTTGCCACAATCAAGTAGAATTCAGCCCAAGAATGCTGAGGTGGTCCAACAAACTAAATCAATGTAACACATTTATAAAGGTGGAGAATATATGATTGTCTAAATTGATGAGAGAGTATTCTAAAGAATGTAATATCCTTTCATGATAACATTTCTGAGAAAACTAGCAATAGAGTGAAAATTAACATGAAAAGGATATTTCTAAAAAACAAAACAAAATACAAACCTCTTACAGCATGAAAAATACAATAAATGGTTTAAGATTAAAAGCATTCCTTAACATCAGACAAAGATGACTACTTTCACTGCTGCTATTAAAAGACTGTATTAGTAGTCAGAGCGATAAAGGGCGGGGGGAGGAATCCAAATTGGAAAAGAGGTAAAATACAATTTCTTCCCACAGAACACAAGAGCCTACACCAAGAAAATCCCAAGAAGTTACAAGAGAGCAACTAAATGGATTCAGCAAATTTGCAGGGGTCAAAACCAACACACAAAAATCAGCAATTTCAATATACCATGAGTAATTTGACAAGGAAATTAAGGAAGCAATTCCAAGTATCATATGAATGAATAAAAAACATGCTGAGGGCCAGGTGCTGGTGGCTCACACCTGTAATACTAGCTACTTAGAAGTGATGGAGAGTCCATGAGACTCTTATCTCCAATTAACCAGCATTAAGCTGGAAGTGGGAGTGTATCTCACTCGAATGGAAGTTTAAGCTTCAGTAACAGCACACACACACACACACACACACACACACACACAATACTGATAACTAGAAGTCACTACTGAATGAAATTATTTAATAATGAATTACTTTATTATTTATATAGACATCAGATGTTTCAGCATAGGCAAACATAAAATTAAGAGTATCAATACTATCCAAAAGCAACCTGCAGATTCAATACAATCCCTATTCCTATTATGTTTAAAATATATATGTATATATATGTATATAAAATATATATAAAATGCAATCCTAAAATTCATATGGAGCCGGGCGCAGGTGGCTCACACTTGTAATCTCAGGAGGCTGAGCTCTGAGGATCGCGGTTCAAAGCCAGCCTGGGCAGGAAAGTCCGTGAGACTCTTTATCTCCAATAAACCACCAGAAAACCGGAAGTTGTGCTGTAGCTCAAGTGGTAGAGCACTAGCCTTGAGCAGAAGAGCACAGGGACAGCGTCCAGGCCCAGAGTTCAAGCCCCACGGCCGACAAAAATAAAAATAAAATAAAAAATTCATAAGACACAAAAACTGGGATAGCAAAAACAATCTTTAAAATAAAGAATAAGGGTGTGTGTGGGGGGGGATGGGAAGGGATGGGAAGTGGAAACAAAGGAGGCAACAATGCTTGATAAGAAATGTACTCATTACCTTGCCCATGTAATTGTAACCCCTCTGTACGGTATTTTCACAATTAAAAAAAAAGAATAAAGTTGGAGAACTTCACACTTCACAATTTCACACACACACACACACACACACTTCACACCGCACAATGCCTCAGCAATTCAATCATTAGTGGTACTAGTATAAGGACTGTCAACTAGACAGCCCGGATAGAAACTCACAATTATGATCAATTGTTTTTCACCAAGGGAGCCATAATCGCTCAAAAGAGAAAGGACCATTTTTTCAACACAGTACTGGGGAAACTGGATGCAAGAATAATGTTTAGAACCGTCAGTCTTAATGGGTGGTTATACGACATTGTGAATGCACTTAAAGCCACTGAACTTTACACTTACAAATAATTAAGATGATAAACATTATGTAGGTTTTGCCACAGTAAAGGCTCTTCCTTTCCCGCCCCGAAATGGAAAAGACTCTGAACTATTAGACGGGCAATTAAATTGGGAAAAGGGCTCTAGAATTGATAACTTCCAATTTTTCTGGTCCAGAACAATACGTAGGTAAGTAATTCCTCTCACCAACACAAGAACAATGCAGGAAATGAGCCTGGTTTGGAGGTGAGCTTGGGATCATCAAAAGGAACCCTAATACTTGTCAACAAATTAAAAGAGCTGTCTCCTGTGCAAATGGCTCTGGAGGAGCTGAAGCATCTGGCAGGCGAGAAGAGATTTGTGGACGGGCACACACCCTGCGCGGGCCACGGAAGCATAGAAATTCAGGAGCTGAACCTAGGATCTCGCAGGACAGACAAAAACCCCACCCTCTCACCTCCAGACCAGGCCCCCTTAAGACAGCAATTATCCAGAAGCTGGGCTTTCTGCACAGGCACTTACCAAAATTGAAGTGCCGAGAGGCCCGTCAGGCCCACGCAGGCAGCAGACGGTGGAGGCTCAGCTCGACAAGTCTCCAAGTAGGAGTTTGGGTCCGCGGATCCCCCAAATCGCCAAGGAACGTGATCCACAGACGCCGGGGAGCCAGGGCATCTGGGCAACGCCGGCCGCGACGCTATTCGGAGGAGCGTTCGGCCCACGGCCCGCGCCCCGCCCCCGGCGCGAAAAGTCCCTCTCCGGCCACCGTCGTCCGCCGAGTCTTCCGATTGGTAGAACTGACCGTAGGACCCGGAAGTTGTCTTTGTCCGGCCGGGGCTGCCCTTCCGGTTCCGTTGGGTCCCCCTTTGACTCCGGTTCCCTGCCCCTCCCCCTTCCCGGAGCCCCCCGAGGGGCCGGAGCTCCTGGTCGCGCCGGATCTTCACGGTGACCTTCCCCTGGGGTCTGTAAGTTCGGAAGCGACCAGAGCGTCGGGTTGGGGGGCGCTGGGGGGGCGGTCAAAATGGAGCCTCCACCTCCCCCCTTGGGGCTGTGGATTGGCCCGGACCTGTACTGGGATGGTTGCCCACCAGAGGTTTGGTTAGGCCCCGGGAGAGGGTAGGAGCCCGGTGCACCGGCCCACGCGTAGCCACGCCCCTTTCCCGTCCCCGGGGGAGCTGAGGATGCCGGAGGGACCGCCTCCCGGGACCTCAGCGGAGGGTCCCCTGATTGGCCTGGACACTAGGACTCTGTGGCATCTGGTAGAAAGTGCTAGAGTTGAGGCCCGGAGAAAATGAGCCACCGGAACCGGTCCAATAAGTGTGGGTCTGATTTTGATGAGGTTTCCCGGATTCAGCCACTTGCCACAGGCACCTTTTTATATTATTGGTGCTAAGCCAACCCGCTGGGCATCTATCGGATACAAGCTCCGTTTTCAGGGTCCTTTAAACAGGTAGATGTTCCCGATGTCCATAAATGAGTTGTGCATATGAACTACTCAAGGGGGAAGTTGCTGGGAAGCCTGTAGAAAGTAGTGACTGAATTAGACTTCTTGGCAAGAGTAGTGTGGAAGAGTTTTTTTTTTTTTCAGGCAAAAGAAACAGTTGCAGTGGTATACTGAATATTGGTTGAGTATAATATGTGTAAAGAGAAAATTGGTTTTTCTTTTGATTTTGTTTGTGTTTGTCAGTACTGAAGTTTAAATTAAGGGTCTAACACTGGCTCAGTGTACATGCTCGGTTGCTCCATCATTTGAACCACACCCCCAACCTTGCTTTTTGCTAGTTGTTTTGGAGACAGAGTATCACAGACTTTCCTGGCTGACTTTGAACTGCAGTCCCCCTGATATTAGCTGCTTGAGCAGCTAGAATTACAGACATGAGGCACAGGTATCTGACAGAAAAGAAATTTCTGTTAGCTAACTCTGGAGACTTGTAAAGTTTGGATACTTTCATTGGAACATTCTTTAAAGTAGAATGGGATCATCATAGTGAGAAAAGTGAGTGCTATTGGAAAGGTGAAAACAGTGGTGTTCAGACTCTATAACGAATTTTATGTTGAATCAGAACTGTCAGATCTGATGCTTCGGTTTCAAAGTTGAGCATTTGAAAAATAATGATGCCATTATCAAAACCATAAGGTTGTTTTGGATTACAGATTCATTTATTGGGCATACTGAATTAAAGCCTAATGGGATAGTCACATAGATTTGTCTAGCCTAGGTTTGGAAATGCAAATCTGGGAGTACCCTAAACATTTTCTCTAGAGGTAAAGCTCTCAATTATTCATATAGTTATGGAAGCTACAGGGATAGCTACCATTAAGTAGACAGTATTGCTGGGCGCTGGTGGCTCACGCCTATAATCCTAGCTACTCAGGAGGCTGAGATCTGAGAATTGTGGTTCAAAGCCAACCCAGACAGCAAAGTCCATGAGACTCTTGTCTCCAGGAAACCACCAAAAAAAAAACAGAAGTTGTGCTGTGGCTCAAGTGATAGAGCACTTGAGCTGAAGAGCTGAGGGACAGCACCAAGGACCAGAATTCAAGCCCCACGACCGACAAAATAAAAAGGGGGGGGAGACAGTATTAAAAGGGAGATTTATGGAATAATGGTTGCATTAACTAAGCAGAAAAAGGAATTGGAGGTAAGTATTATAGCCCAAACAGAAGTAGGAGATAAAGTCTAAGAGTACAGAATTCCAGAAACCCAGAAGCCCTAGATGTCAAAAGAAGATGTCAGAGTTGGAAGAGCATCCACTGGATCCAATCATAAAAAATATCTAGGCATGAGAAGAAAAACTTATGACACTTCTTTATTAAGAGGTCATTAGTGGCCTCCTGAAAAGCAGTTTTAGGCTGAGTAAAGTGATTCATGTCTATATTACCAGCCATTCAAAAGGCACAGATAAGGAGGATCTCAGTTCAAAACCAAACAGGCAAAAAGTTAGGAAGACCATCTTCAACCACCTTGCCTACATAGGGTACATACCTGATAAACTAGCTATAAGGGAGGCATAGTAGAAAGACTGAGATCTTGAGCCTGCTCAGGGTTAAGGGAGTCATAGAGCACTCTTCAAACTGTAGTACCACCTAAGAAAAAAAATTTTTAACCAGAAATTTTAGTAAAATGATGGATTAATGAGATATGAAATGCAGGCAGTTTCAACTGGTAGATGTTAAATGAGAAGGATAAAAGGATTTCACAAAGAAAATTGGATTTATTTATTTGGTTAATGTATACTTAGAAAGCACAGACCAGGCACCATTCTTTAAAAAAAAAAAGTTAACTGATATAGGGCTTAGTTTATAGGCTTAAGCCTGTTTTATCAGCTATAGCATTATAAAGACAGGAGGATCATAGTTCAAGGCCAGCCCAAGCAAGAACATTAAGGAGTCTCTATATCAAAGAATAATCCAGATGTGGTAGGGCATACTTGTATTCCCAGATAAGTTGGAGACAGGGGAATCCTGGTCTAAGGATAGCTCTGGACAAAGGAAGACCCTGTCTGAAAAATACCTAAAATGAGCAGGCACTGGTGGCTCATGCCTGTAATCCTAGCTACTCAGGAGGCTGAGATCTGAGGATCTCGGTTCAAAGCCAGCCCGGGCAGGAGAGACCGTGAGACTCCTATCTCCAATAAAACCACCAGAAAACTGGAAGTGGTGCTGTAGCTCAAGTAGTAGAGCGCTCGCCTTGAGCTGAAGAGCTGAGGAACAGCACCCAGGCCCAGAGTTCAAGCCCCAGGACCGACAAAAAAAAAAGAAAAAAGAAAAATACCTAAAATGAAAAGGGTTAGGAACATGGTTCAAGTGGTAAAGAGTTTGCCTAGCTATGAGTGAAAGAAACCCTATGTTCTACTCCTAGTACTACTCTCTCCTCCAAATTAACTGATTTAATTTTCCATGGGTAATTATAAAATTTCTTTGAAGTAGTTTATTAAACCTAAGGCAGAATGGTCAATAACTCACTGAAGGTTACATAGCTTAATAAGTGGGTAAGCAAATTTTCAATCCTAGGAAATGTGGCTCAAGTCTGTTTTGCCTACTGTATTATTCACTGACAATACTGGAGTAAGAGTTGTGGGTATTTTAAAGCAAAGATAAGCTTATTCATTGAGAGAGAAAGAGAGAGAGAGAGAGGGAGAGAGAGAGAGAAGCTGGGTACCTATGGCTCATGCTTGTAATCCTAGCTATTTAGGAGGCTGAGATCTGAGGATTGCGGTTCAAAGCCAGCCCTGGCAGGAAAGTCCATGAGACTCTTATCTCCAGTTAACCACCAGAAAACAGGAAGTGGCGCTGTGGTTCAAGAGGTAGAGCTCTAGCCTTGTGCTGAAGAGTGCAAGGACAGTGCCCAGACCCAGAGTTCAAATCCTATGACTGACCCCCCAAAAGTTAATTAATTACATAAATAAATAAATAAAAGAGAGGATTGTGAGGAGATCCAGGATGAGAAGGAAGGAAATAATATGTGTTTGTGTTGTGTATCATTTTCTGTCTTCTTCCTGTTTTGGGTTCTCTTCCTGGTGGGGTTCTCTTGGCTCATTTAAGGTCTATTTCTTTTACTCTCATATGTTCATTTATCATTTAACAATTACAATCAGGTTTCTTCTGTAGCTTCAGACTTGTTTCCAGACAGACTTTCACCTTGATGTCAGGCAGACTTTCAACATTTTTAAGACAAGTCCCATGATCCTTCCTTTGAGTATTCTTTAGCTTGTTTATACTGAGACTCATTTAAAGACATCTAGACATGGGGCTGGGAAGGTGGCTCAGTGGTAGAGCGCTTGCCTTGCATGCCTGAGGCCCTGGGTTCGATTCCTCAGCACCACATAAGCAAAAAGAAAAAAGCCAGAAGTGGTGCTGTAGCTCAAGTGGTAGAGCACTAGCCTTGAGCTGAAGAACTGAGGGACAGCGCCCAAGCCCAGAGTTCAGGCCCCACGACTGAACCCCCCCCCAAAAAAAAAAAGACATCTAGACACTCAAACTAAATATCTTGGAGTTATCTGGATCCTCTTTCTCACTCTGGGTCACTAGTCATTAGTTTTTTCTTTGAACTATTTCCCAAATCTGTTTCTTCCTCTGCCATATAATTGTCTGTCATGATCTGATCAAATAATAGCACATCAGTTTGCTTCCACATACATTGTTCTCTAAGTCATTCTCCACTTATTTTTATTTTTGACTTTCATTTTTAAGTGTGGAGATATAGGCATCATGCATTTTAACAATATAAAAGTAGCCTCTAGCAGATATTTTCTAATAGCTTGGATTGAGGTTAAATTTATAGTTGGCAGTTGGAATGGGGATTTAGGAATCCTTAGCCTAGAGAAGGTCATCAAACCAAAGAGGCTTTCTGAGGAAGTAAGTCTTGAAATGCACAGCAAAAAGTCAAAGACCAAACTTTGAAGGATACAGTTACCTTTATACAAGTCAGTGAAGCCTTTATGAGCAGACCAATAATAATGGAGAAAAAAAAATAAACCGTGCCTGGTGGCTCATGCCTGTAATCCTAGCTAGTCAGAAGGCTGAGAGCTGAGGATCCTAGTTTGAGGCCAGCTAGGACAGGCAAATCTAAGCGATTCTTACCTCCGACTAACAAAAGGTTGAAAGTAGAAGTGTAACTCAAGTGGTAGAACTTCAGCTATCAGCAAAAAAAGCCAAGCATGAATTTGAGGCCCTGAGTTCAATCCCCAGTCTTGCCAACAACATATAGATAATGAAAGAATTGTGTACATATGAAAAAAAAAGTAATTGGTGAGAATATAATCTAGAATTATATTTTATGAATATCACTAATAATTAACTCTTAAGAAGTTACTTATATAGTTCAGGAATCAATACATTCAAAATGTTTATTCTTCATGATATTTGCAAATAATACTGTGTCTTGATTCACAAAATTAAATGCAGAGCCCAGTTCCCATGGTCCACTCCTATAATCCCAGCTGCTTAGGAGGCTGAGGT